AATCACACCTGAAAGCAGATAAAAAGGAGAGACGTTCACTTAACCTTTGCATTGTGTGTCTGTCTGTGCCACACTAAGCATGGACAACAGAAAGAGGAGACGAGAACTGTCTGAGGACCTGAGAACCAAAATTGTGGCAAAATATCAACAATCTCAAGGTTACAAGTCCATCTCCAGAGAACTAGATTTGCCTTTGTCCACAGTGCGCAACATTATCAAGAAGTTTGCAACCCATGGCACTGTAGCTAATCTCCCTGGTCGTGGACGGATGAGGAAAATTGATGAAAGATTGCAACGCAGAATAGTCCGGATGGTGGATAAGCAGCCCCAAACATGTTCCAAAAGACATTCAAGCTGTCCTGCAGGCATCCCTGTCCAGGGAGCATCAGTGTCAGCGCGAACTATCCGTCGACATTTAAATGAAATGAAACGCTATGGCAGGAGACCCAGGAGGACCCCACTGCTGACACAGAGACATAAAAAAGCAAGACTACAGTTTGCCAAAATGTACTTGAGTAAGCCAAAAGCCTTCTGGGAAAAACGTCTTGTGGACAGATGAGACCAAGATAGAGCTTTTCGGTAAAGCACATCATTCTACTGTTTACCGAAAACGGAATGAGGCCTACAAAGAACAAAACACAGTACCTACGGTAAAAATATGGTGGAGGTTCAATGATGTTTTGGGGTTGTTTTGCTGCCTCTGGCACTGGGTGCCTTGACTGTGTGCAAGGCATCATGAAATCTGAGGATTACCAAAGGATTTTGGGTCGCACTGTAGGGCCCAGTGTCAGAAAGCTGGGTTTGCGTCCAAGATCCTGGGTCTTCCAGCAGGACAATGACCCCAAACATACGTCAAAAAGCACTCAGAAATGGATGGCAAAGAAGCGCTGGAGAGTTCTGAAGTGGCCAGCAATGAGCCCAGATCTAAATCCCATTGAACACCTGTGGAGAGATCTTAAAATTGCTGTTGGGAAAAGGTGTCCTTCCAATAAGAGAGACCTGGAGCTGTTTGCAAAGGAAGAGTGGTCCAAAATTCCGGGTGAGAGGTGTCAGAAGCTTATTGATGGTTATAGGAAGCGATGATTTCAGTTATGTTTTCCAAAGGGTGTGCAACCAAATATTAAGTTAAGGGTGCCAATACTTTTGTCCAGCCCATTTTTGGGGTTTTGTGTGACATTATGTCATATTTGCTTTTCTGCCTCTGTTTTATATTTGTTCCATAATACATACAAAGGGAATAAACATGTGTATAGCAAAACATGTGTTAATGCAATACCTTTTTTGTGTAAATACTTGATTTTCAGGAAAAAATATCAAGGGTGCCAACAATTTCGGCCATGACTGTATATTGGATATAAAAAGTCTACATACCCTGTTAAAATGTCAGGTTTCTGTGATGTAAAAAAAATTAGACAAAAATAAATCATTTCAGAACTTTTTGCACCTTTAATGTGACTTATAAACTGTACAACTCCCGTTGAACAACAAACTGAAATCTTTTAGGCGGAGGGAAGTAAAATAAAAAACTAAAATATTATGGTTGTATAAGTGTGCACACCCTTAACCACTTCACGACCGGCCGTTGTATATAAACGGCCGGACGGTGGCACTGCAGGGTCGGGTGGCCGTCTATAAACGGCCTCCCCGCACCCTGCTGTTAGGTGCGCGCTCCCTGGGAGCGCGAGCACCGCGATCCGGTGCCCGCTGTGTCCTCCGGACACAGTGAAACACCGATCGTCGGACGGGACCTCTGTACGAGGTCCCGATCATGTGATCGCTGATTAGCCAATCAGTGATCACATGCAAAGTAGTAAGCAAGATGTCACTTCTGACATCATTGCTTACTATGTGTGAAATCTGTGAATGATCACAGAGGTCACATGGTACAAGGCTATTCACAAAAGCCTTGTACCATGTGACAAGCTGTGACCAATCACAGCTCACTCAGTTCTTCTCAATGAGTGCAAGAATGCACACAGAGAGAAAGAGAAATTATTGCTTTTACATCCTATATGGGTGTAAAAGCAATCAGTGTAAAAAAAAAAAAAAAAAAAATCTTCATCACCCCTCACAAGTAGTACAGTGTCACCATGGTGACACTGTACTGCTAGGGTGACAGTATGTAAAAAAATAAATAAAAAAAAAAATAATAATAAAAAAAAATAAAATAAAAAATGTAAAAAAAAATGTTTAAAAATTATAATTTTTGCTTATAAACTAATTTGGATTTTTTTTTTTTACTAAAAAGATAACGGAATAAATTTTGGCTAAGATTTATGATGAAATATTATTTATTTGCAAAATTTTATAAAAAAAACACTTTTTTTCAAAATTTTTTGGACATTTCATTTACATAGCAAACAAAATACAAATCCCAGTGGTGAATAAATACCACCAAAATAAAGCTTTATCTATCTCAAAAAAATGGTAAAAAATTCATTTGGGTACAGTGTTGCATGACCGCGCAATTGTCATTCAAAGTGTGATAGCGCTAAAAGCTGAAAATTGCCCTGGTCAGGAAGGGGGTAAAAGTGTCCGGACAGGAAGTGGTTAAACTAATACTTTGTTGAAGCACCTTTTAATTTTATTCCAGCACTCAGTCTTTTTGGGTATGAGTCTATCAGCATGGCACATCTTGACTTGGCAATATTTGCCCCACTCTTCCTTGCAAAAACACTCCAAATCTGTCAGATTGCGACCGCATCTCCTGTGCACGGCCCTCTTCAGATCACTCCACAGATTTTCGATCAGATTTAGGTCTGGGCTCTGGCTGGGCCATTCCAAAACTTTATTTTTTTTGGTGAAGCCTTTCCTTTGAAGAATTCCTTTGTTGATTTGGATGTATGCTTTGAGTCGTTGTCATGCTGAAAGATGAAGTTCCTTCTTCATGTTCAGCTTTCTAGAAGAAGCCTGAAGGTTTTGTGCCAATATTGACTGGTATTTGGAACTGTTCATAATTCCCTCTACCTTGACTAAGGTCCCATTTCCAGCTGAATAAAAACAGCCCCAAAGCATGATGCTGCCACCACCATGCTTCACTGTGGGTATGGTGTTCTTTTGGTTATGTGCAGTGTTGTTTTTGCACCAAACATACCTTTTGGAATTATGGCCAAAAAATTCAACCTTGGTTTCATCAGCCCATAACACATTTTCCCATATGCTTTTGGGAGACTTCAAATGTGTTTTTGCAAAAATTTATCCAGGCTTGAATGTTTTTCTTCGTAAGAAAAGGCTTCCGTCTTGCCACTCTACACCATAGCTCAGACATATGAAGAAAACGGGAGATTGTTGTCACATGTACCACACAGCCAGTACTTGCTAGATATTCCTGTAGCTCCTTTAATGTTGCTGTAGGCTTCTTGGCAGCCTCCCAGACCAGTTTTCCTCTAGTCTTTTCATCAATTTTGGAGGGACGTCCAGTTCTGTTGCGCCATATTTTCTCCACTTGATGATGACTGTCTTCACTGTGTTCTATGTTATATCTAATGCCTTGGAAATTCTTTTGCAGACTTCTCCTGACTGTTACCTTTTAACAATGAGATCCCTCTGATGCTTTGGAAGCCCTCTGTGGACCATGGCTTTTACAGTAGGATGCGACTGAGAAAACGTCAAGAAAGACCTACTAGAACAGCTGAACTTTATTTGGGGTAATCAGAGGCACGTTAAATGATGGCAGGTGTGTACTGACTCCTATTTAACACGATTTTGAATGTGACTACTTAATTTTGAACACAGCTACATCCCCAGGTATAAGAGGGTGTGCACACTTACGCAACCACATTATTTTAGTTTTTTAGTTTTCTTCAATTGAGTTGTACAATTTATAGATCACATTAAAGGTGGAAAAAGTTCTGAAATGATTTATCCTTGTATAATTTTTTTACATCACAGAAACCTGACATTTTATCAGGGGTTTGTAGACTTTTTATATCCACTGTGTGTGTGTGTATATAGTATATATATATATATATATATATATATATATATATATATTTATTTTTTTATTTATTTTTTTTTTTTTAATCTATTTATATTTTCCATTTACTACTATCACAAGGGAGGGGGATGGTAAGTCATGTGATAGTACTGATAGGTTTATTAGGCTCCATATGTCTGCCACTAGCCCTAGCAGATCAGTGGTAGAGGGTCCCAAACGTGCCAGACCAACAGACCACCAACAGCTCTGACCCAAGTGCTCAGAGTTGGGCTCTTCTGGGACTTCTGGCAAGGGAGATCAGGTAACAGATGTTTCCTGATATCCTCCATTGATTGGCATGCTTAAAACACTCAAAACCCTGAGAATGCTCAGCTATCCTGGAACACCAGTTATGGACTCATGGAGGAGTCAGGTGAGCACTGGGACTGGGTTGAGGCAGCAGCACACTGGACCTCAACACTCTGGCAGCACCATGTCGAACTGATGAAGTGGTCTTACAGCCACCCTGATAACTTTTACAGTGAAATAAAAAAGCAGCAACATAAAGAGGAAAATCCACAGCCACTATTGGGGCCATGGTTTTGTTTTCATCCTTTCACTGCCCAGCTATAACACAGCTATAGTGTTGACAATGAAAGGGTTATCTATTCCCAGAATGTGAACAGAAACCACTCAGAGTGACTATCGATCAAATCTTCCCACTCCATGTTCATTGTTGCAAACAAACATGGACTTTAATAAATGTCCTCCTGGCACTGGGATTTTGCCAGAAGAATATTTATTTGCAGATTGTGGACTGGAAGAAATTAATATTTAAAAAAGCTTTTGAAATTAAAGTGTTACTAAACCCAGGACCCTGCATTCACTATATCTGATCTCCCACAGTATGCATAACATGGAAAAGCAATTATTTTTGTAAATATTAACTTCAAAATACCTTTTCTCATCAGCAGTTAGAGCAGTTTTGCGACTTCTATCAGTGTTCAGCAGAGCACTGGTTAAAGCTTGTAGGAGGCCTTTTCATTCTCCCCTGATTGTCTTATGAGTCTGCAGGACCCCTGACCCTCTTTCTGCGCAGCACTTATTGGCCCTGTGCTGATCACATGCAATCTTCCAAGAAAAAAAAAACTCTCTAGCAACAAACACCAATCTGAGCATGTGCAGCTAGTCTCCAAGGCTCTGTTCTATCAGCAGATAGACTGGGAACAGTAGAAGAAGGGGAGGATCAGAGAATACAGGATCAAACATCCTTTTTACACAATGCAGAGGATTAACCCCTTAGGTTCCACAGTGAGTATAAAAAGCATGCTTTATAGCATATACAGACTGATTTTACTGTTGCGGATTTAGTAACACTTTAAATTAACATTTTGAAGCTTAGATAAGATTGTAATTTTTTAGTTTACAACAGCATCACTATTTTTCTAATAAGTATACCCTGAATGCTATGTTTTAACAAGCTAGAGAGAATCAGACATTATTTTTTATGTTCAGGTAATGTGTATACTGTATGTTAAATGTGCAAAATGGAGCATTTAGAATTAACTGAGGTTGAAACTTATCTCAGAAATGCTCAGCTATGTGTATGGATGAGAGTACACATAATAAAATGGATAAGATGTGTCATTCTTGCCCCATCTCTGCCTCATAACAACTCATACTTGGATAAATTTGTTCTCTTTTCTTTAGATTACAAAAATGTAGGCTAGAGAATAGACGCTAATGGTATGGTGCTTACTCAACTGTAAGTATCAAATAACTGATGTCCAATACTTGGCTTTGACAAGATCAAATTAGAAACAGACTTCCTATGGGATATTCTTGTCTTCTGCAGATCTCCTTAGGGACATCAGTTGACTGGGTTGTAAGATTTCAGCTATTAGCCTTTCATACCCTTTGTTGCATTCAACTATGAGGTAGGAAGGGGTTTATTTATGTCTATGGTCATCCATAAGAATAAAAAGAGCAAAGAGAGCACTTGAGAGAACTAGAGGAGCTGAAGAGAAATAAACAAACACACATTTTCTATAAAAATGTGAACAGACTAAGGATTAAGTTCAAATGCCAAGTATGTAAAGTTGGGTTGATTCTACTAGTAACACTTGAAAGAAAATGCACATGATGCAACTGATGATGCTACAATTCTGTGCAAACCAAAAGCAAAACCACGTTGATTAGGAAACCACTACAGAGTTTTAAGACGTGTTTAGTAAGCTAACTTAATACAAAGCTCCGGGGAAAAATAAATATCCAGATGAGCTCATAAAAGTACCTTTTTTCATAAGTAGGCCCATGGCATTATTAGGAGGGTATTGGTAGTAGAATCAGTACAGGTGAAGTGGAATACTAGTAAATGCTATCACCCCTTTGTATTTCCTAATACTACTAGTGTAAGAACCTTGTTTTTATATTAGCTTTTCTCTTCCTTGTACTGCAGCATTCAGACTGGGACACGAAGCACTACAGTAGAGGCCAAGGACCTGAAAGTACTGTTTGGCTACCTGGATCACAAATGCACCTAAACAGATTGACTAATCCATTGAAAGTTGGAGCAGTTTATATACAGTATATGTGTTTTGGTTGTGTGTTTAGCTATTTTCCTTAAGTTAAGATTCAAATCTTCCACAAAATGACTAAGTAGTGGGGGCTTAACCACTTCCCGACCGGCCGTTGTATATAAACGGGCCGGATGGTCGCACTGCAGGGTTGGGTGGCCATTTATAAACGGCCTCCCCGCACCCTGCTTGTGTGCGCTCCCCGGGAGCGCGCAGCACTACGATCCGGTGCCCGCTGTGCCCTCCTGACACAGTGAAACACCGATCGTCGGACGGGACCTCTCTACGAGGTCCCAATCATGTGATCACTGATTGGCCAATCAGGGATCACATGCAAAGTAGTAAGCAAGATGTCACTTGTGACATCATTGCTTACTACGTGTGAAATCTGTGAATTATCACAGAGGTCACATGGTACAAGGCTATTCACAGCAAAAGCAATCAGTGTAAAAAAAAAATAAAATCTTCATCACCCCCCACAAGTAGTACAGTGTCACCATGGTGACACTGTACTGCTAGGGTAACAGTGTGTAAAAAAAAAAAAATTAATAAAATACATAATATAAAAAATAAAAATGTAAAAGAAAAAAGTTTAAACATGATCATTTTTGGTTATAAACTAATTTGGTTTATTTTTTCTGTCCTGAAAACAGTTCATGTAAAGTGCTTAGAAGTGATGATCCATCTGAGGGGATCTCGGGTAAGTGCTCCTTACAACATCCTGGTGACGTGTCATGAAATTGTTAGGAATACGCACTCGCCAGATGCACAACCTTTATGCGCATATATGTATATGTATATCTCAAAGATGTGTGCTGAAGATCCATATTAATATTCATTGACATTTGATTTTTATACTTTTAAGTTCAACATGTCAATCTTAGACCCATTATAGTTGGTTTTAATGATTTATTAAGTTTTAGATGATTTTGTTATCATGAGTTACTATTGGATTATATGTTTTACAGGGTAACCATTTGAGTATATATATATATATATATATATATATATATATATACAAGTTTTTTTTATTATTATTTTTTAGTACATATGATTGTCTGATCACCTTACAATAGCCATATTGGGTATACTATGCAAAGTACAATATACGGTCCTTAAATGAGGTTTGTGCAAAAACACTATCTTTCACCTTTCTTCATCAGAAATTTGTTGTGCGCAGACGCACATAGTATACAGACCCGTTTTCAATTTATATTCTTCCCCAATTTGTTAATACGGGTCAGCCTGCTTTTCTAACAAAGTACGGTGTTGCAGAAACAAATCTGCCAGATTATTTTAAGAATATATACATTGTAGTAGTACTGATGACAACATATGCTTTCTTGCCTCGTTCGCATTCAATAGGGCTATTGCGGCGAATATCTATTACAATATGGCGCCTACGCATGTGCGATCGTGAACCACAATAATATGGCGGTCGCGCGATCTGCGCAAGCACGGCATTCAGTATAAATAGACTTCACTCTGGCGTCCTTGCGTACGAGCATACCCCTAAAGAATATGTGCCTTAGCATGAAACGCGTCGAGGAGGAGCTGTGCGCAGTGACGTCACGCCGCTGCAACCACATGGAGGTCCGGTGGCCATCTTAGCATCTCACATGGTCAGTGTTTATCTTGGTTGTATAGGTTGCATTCAATAAATATTGCTTGGAAATATTGCACTATAGGCTTCCTTCTTTTTGGCTCCTTGCGAGCGGATACCTGTACAGAGCCCATTCCGGAGTGAGGCCTAATGTGCTGCAAACTGCCCAGGGGAAGGGGATTCTTATTGGTTTGTGACCAGACCAGGCTGATCCGGTTCTGAAGGAGATCTTCAGCACACATCTTTGAGATATACATATACATATATGCGCATAAAGGTTGCGCATCTGGTGAGTCCGTATTCCTAACAATTTCATGGCAAGTCACCAGGATGTTGTAAGGAGCACTTACCCAAGATCCCCTCAGATGGATCATCACTTCTAAGCACTTTACATGAACTGTTTTCAGGACTATACATAATTATTAACACTCAGCACATTGTCAGTGCTCAGCATTATCACCTTTTAGCTTTGCATTTTGCAGTTTTGTCAATTCATATCCACATTTGGGTTTAGTGCAATTTACGTGTGTATATACAGTTGCAAGAAAAAGTATGTGAACCCCTTGGGATTACGTGGAGTTTTGCATGAATTGGGCATAAAATGTGCTCTGAACGTCATCTAAGTCACAACAATAGAAGAACACAGTCTGCTGAACATAATAATACACAAACATTAGATGTTGCCATGGTTTAATTGCACATAACATGTAAACATTCACAGTGCAGGGAGGAAAAAGTATGTGAACCTTTGGACTTAATAACTGGTTGACCCTCCTTTGGCAGCAATAACCTCAACCAAACGTTTCCTGTAGTTGCAGATCAGACCTGCACAACGATCTGGAGTAATTTTGGACCACTCCTCTTCACAAAACTGTTTCAGTGTAGCAATATTCTTGGGATGTCTGGTGTGAATCGCTCTCTTAAGGTCATGCCACAGCATTTCAATTGGGTTGAGGTCAGGACTCTGACTGGGCCACTCCAGAAGGCGTATTCTGTGCTGTTGCAGCCATTGTTTTGTTGAATTACTTGTATGCTTTGGGTCATTGTCCTGTTGCATCACCCATCCTCTGCAGAGCTTCAGTTGGTGGACAGATGGTTGTACGTTTTCCTGCAAAATGTCTTGATAAACTCTGGAATTCATTTTCCCATCAATAACAACCATCCGTCCAGGCTCTGAGGCAGCAAAGCAGCCCCAAACCATGATGCTCCCAACACCATGTTTTACAGTGGGGATGAGGTTTTGATGTTGGTGTGCTGTGCCTTTTTTTCTCCACACATAGTGTTGTGTGTTCTTCCCAAACAACTCAATCTTGGTTTCATCTGTCCACAGTATATTTTGCCAGTAGTGCTGTGGAACATCCAGGTGCTCTTTTGCAAACTTCAAACGTGCTGCAATATTCTTTTTGGACAGCAATGGCTTCCTCCGTGGTGTCCTCCCATGAATTCCATTCCTGTTTAATGTTTTCCTTATTGTAGATGTGTCAACAAAAATGTTAGCATGTGCCAGAGATTTCTGTAGGTCTTTAGCTGACACTCTGGGATTCTTCTTTACCTCATGCAGCATTCTGCGCTGTGCTCTTGCAGTCATTTTTACAGGACGACCACGCCTAGGGAGAGTAGCAACAGTGCTCAACTTTCTCCATTTGTAGACAGTCTGTCTTACCGTGGACACATGAACATCAAGGCTTTTGGAGATACTTTTGCAACCCTTTCCAGCTTCATGCAAGTCAACAATTCTTGATCGTAGGTCTTCTGGAAGCTCTTTTCTGCGAGGCATGGTTCACATCAGACAGTGCTTCTTGAAACCAGTAAACCCAAAACAGGTGTGTGTTTTTTTAAGGGGAGGACAGCTGTCAGCAACACATCCAATATCATCACACTGATTGGAGTCAAGGTTGACTCACTCCTGGCTCCAATTAGCTCTGGGAGAAGTCATTAAGCTAGGGCCTCACATACTTTTTCCTCCCTGCACTGTGAATGTTTACATGTTATGTGCAATT